TACATAACTATTTGCTATACTCGGCAAAAGCTTGTGTAATTTCCTCATCTGCTCTATAAGATCATTCTTGATATTTCTATTGATATAAATGTTATTCTCAATATGATGGATATGGAAAAATAACAAACGAATGATAGGAAAGTCGGTTGCAAGTTATTAAACTGATACTTAAATTGTCATTATCAGAGAATTAATATCGACATTTGCTAAAAATAGAAATTTTAACTATTATGTTTTCTGACGTTATTCTACAGACGGATAATTTTCTTTAAATTTATTTACGAATTTTTCATGAATTGATAAATAGCTTTACTCTCAATTCAATCCTAAAGGTCATCATTAAGTTCATTATGACGTCAAATATTAATTCAAATCTTTTCTTCTGAACAGAATTAAACTAGATTCAAAAAGTTTTCTCATCCAGTGCATAATATACTTGTACAATATGTATAATTAAAGATTCGTCAATAGTAAACTTAAAGTGTGGAAGCTTTACGAGGAAACCAAGCTCTTTTGCCAAAAAAATATCGTAGATAATTTTATTGCGTATTTTAAACCTTGTGTACCGGCAATGAATGAACGCTATTTGAATGCAGGAAGTTGCTTTGCGCACGCGAGAAGAGATCAGAGTGTATCTTACATCGAGTAAGCGATTTACGTCTTCTTGCGAAGCCGTTCTCTTACGACTCTAATCTTCATTGGACCTAAATCCCAGCTGCGTGGGTGCGCTTTCTAGAAAACATCGCAGGTAATAAAAGAAAAGTGTCCGACGATGTATCCTTTGGGAAATCGATCAAAATGAATAAACTAGGAAGAGTAACTAGGATGCAATGTGAAATGTATTACGCGACGTTGATTATTTGTTTACTTCGGTAAATATAATGTGTAGAACAAAGATTCCGACATGGCAATCTCAACGTATGCGGCAAAATTGCAAACAAAAATCGTGAATATTTGAAGAATATTACATGTATGTAAATAATCAAGATATTTCTCCCAGATTTCTTATCCTTTCTTTCATCTACGAATTTTTTAGTCCAATCTGGAGAATTGATTTGATATATCCTGTACATAGAGATATATGACAGCATATAAAAACTAGGAATTTAGAGAAAAATTTATATTGTAAATGACATATCATTTGACTCGTCTCAAAATTACCTAATAAATAAATGACCTATACACGTAATAAACGAGTTAATTAAGTTTGTGCCGCCTCAGAAGTTTCAGATGGCCTGAAGCAATAATATGGATAATCGGATTGATTCTTCTCCTAAATGTATTTCGTTAATCAATCGAAAAATTATCATACTCACCTTGTTACAAAAATATATAATCAAGCATGCTAATATGAGTTGATAGCTGATTTATATATCAATCTGACTTTATACATGATTTATTGAAATTTCAAATACATTACGCGCCTGAAGCATTTGTGAAAATGAAGCAAACACATTTTAATATCGATTAGTAATCGATATAAAAGTTTATTCGCAATAATTATGAAGAAAATACAACTGCATCCAATAAAAAAATTCAACTTATATGTCCGAGTCGTATGTTCATAATGCGATATCGGTGAAAAGACAGCGAATAAAGCGAGGGAAAAGAAATATATGCGACTTGATATTAGAAAGAATTTTTCACGAGAAAGAAAATAAAATAGTCGAATTGAAAGATAAAATCTATTCATTCCAAAAGGAAAGCGATGCAAACAAAAAAGAGCTCGCAAGGCAGGGTATTATAAAGAGATATCAGTAAAAGAAAGCGAATTGGCAAGAGAGAAAGAGTTTATAAAATTTACAAAAGAACAGTTGTATAGTATTGAGAATAATATCTGATATGCCTGTATGGATTCATTCTCGACGGAAACGGTTATGTCGGAATGTCAAGCCAGTAATGGAAACCAAAAAAGTACACTGTCGCGACATAGCCCGCGAAAACGCTGAGGTGCGAAAACAATTAAAATCGTCGATAATTTCCATCAACGTATTGAATTTAATTCTTTCATTACTTTCTTTATTATTTCCTCATTTTTCATAGTTGATATGCAAAATATATTTGAAAGCTTCAATTTTCTCTCCGTACTATTATGTATATTACAAATAAAAAAATTATTTAATTTCTATTATTCAGAATATAAGTTGTACAAATTTAAGAATGGATTATTAAATATATGCAATAATCAAATAAAATTTCTCATTTTATAAGAAGAGTTTCATCTCAAAAATATCGAAAACGGTTATCACATTATATTATTACATTGTATATATCTTTTCTTTTCTTTTTTTAATGTAGATGCGTACGCTTTCTGTTTCCCCCAATTTCTTTTATTTTTTATTTTTTTTTTTTTTATTTTGAGAAAATTGATCTTCAATTTTTTTCTTTTTTTTATTCTTGTTGATATCTTGATGTTATAATCTCGACCATGATAATTTTGATAATGACTGTTTTATATCTGGAAGATAGATACTAAAATTCGCAATCGACACTTTCACGCCCTGGTTATTCTCTTACCTTGTACCTAAAAAGCTAAGAGCACCGGGGCGTATCTTTAATCTTGTCTGGGTTATTCTCTTGAGCGCTCATTATTTTTATCATCGATTTATCTCTCACTGTTAAGCTACAGGACAGACAAACTGTCCCTTTCGGCACGATGAACAGTTATGGTTCAATTCCTATATTTTCTTCTCTTCGATTTCGAGAACGTCGCGCTTCCTTGCCCGTCTAGCTCACTACAACTCGATATCTTCTAATTAACTTTCTGCGGTGCAATTATTCGCTCATTATTCAGTAGATGATGATGAAAGAAATGTATTAATCAAAATTAAATTTATTATAGTTAGATGTAAGTAAGAAAAACATGGTTTTGCGAACTTTATATTTACATATAATATATACACATATACATCAAATATTATTTTATTATATGTATATTTCAGAAATAAAAAAGAAGAGAGAGGAAAGAATTGAGACCAAACGTATTATATATTATAAGATGGAATTATTGTTGTGCATTGTTTTTTTTTTAAGTTGTATCCGGATATAAATATTCTTGATAGGCAGGGTAACTATATATGATAAAATTTTCTCTATTTAAGTTGCCACTTTTATTTAAATCTTTCAACTGGTAATCAATTAATCAATAGACGACATATTTATCAATTAGACAAATCAATTAGAATAGTATTAAAAAAACAAATCCATGATCTACTGATCTGCTATCTTTTTATCACTTTGTAAAATACTTTATTAGCGTGTTCATCGGGGGGGAAACTGCAAATTTGTATATAAATAGAATGTACAGAAATAAACCTTAATTAAGGGTTTCTGTACAAAAGACACAAAGAGAGTTGTCACAATTCGATCTATGATACAAATAAAAATAGTACATTTGAGCATCATAAACAAATTAAGTGTCACTGTATATAATTTGTAAAATTGCTAATCGATAAATTTCCACTAATCTCGTGTCGTATCATGATTATAAAAAAGCATTCGACAGTATTAATCATACTAATTAATAAGTTTCGTGCTGTTGGTATTTTCTTGAACTGGCTTTATCAAACTTTATAATAAATACATCTCAAATTATAAAGTTCAAAAGTTCTTTTTCTAAAGAATATCGCGGTTTTCTCAGAGGTCCCTCAAGAATTTCATTTGGGTCCTTTATTGTTTAATTTATTTATTAACTTATTGACTTAAAGCAAGTATTTACTCACTCTAATTTATTATTCTATGCCGACGACTTAAACATTTTCCGTCGAATCACTAATTCCGTTGATATCTTTTACCTACAGAAAATCTTAGATTTGATGCTTGGGGCCAAGCAAATAACTTAAACTTTAATCTATCCAAATGTCACGTGGTTCATTTTAGTCATAAAAGGAATAGCTATTTACGTAATTACATTCTTAGCGGAAATCTTTTCTCGGCCGTTGACTCTATCTTGGGGTGATTTTTTGTAATGATCTTTTTCTCTCTCTCTTTTAAAAAACATATAAATCTCATTACGAGTGCTGCGTTCAAGAGACTTTGGCTTTGTAAACCGATTGTACATACATCTTTAAAAAATGTAAATGCTTTAAAATTATTGTATTACATCCTTGTGAGACCGCATTTCAACGCCATTTTCTTCGCGTTAGTTTTAACTTGTTTAAACCTATGAACTTTTTTAATCACGATTATGATTGCTTATTAAAAAATTTAGATCTGTTAACGTGAAAGAATCGCCGAGTTTTGTTGGATTTGGTATTCGTGTGTAAAGTAGTTAATAAGTACATTGATTCTCCTGATTTGCTGGAACACATCAATCTACGTTGCTGATAAATCGCTTAGACATAATCAATTATTCTTTATTAAACACCTCATTGTACTTTCTATGGAAAATATAAACCACTCAATCATAGGTGTTTGCTAAATAATTTTTTGGTGTGTATTGACTTTTTTCACACGAATTCTAATTCAATTAAAAGAATTCTTCCTCGATATATAGTTTAATATCATTAAATGTTGTTATCTTATGTAACTACTTTTTGGTTGTAATTTTTCCGCCTGATTCATCTCAATCTGATGTCTTTTCTTATTAACTGTCTAGATTAACTGTCTTATTGACTGTCTTATTAACTGTACTAGAGGATTTTTCCCGTTCAAAATGGATTAAATAAATAAAATTATGATATTATATGTTAAATATAGAATAATATACGTATTGGATATATATCAATAACACGTATTGGGCAATCAAATTATACATGATATCCTATTGATCCAAATATTATCGAGATTATTGGTTGTATCAAAAAATGTTTTAAATAGAAATCAAAAGAGGGTTTTAAGAGGGATATATTTTCGAATGTTTGAAAATTATCTTTATTTTAAATCATATATTTTTTACAAAAAAAGAAAAATGCATTTTAAACAATGACAATATTCAAATGTGTAAAATAGATAAAGTTCTATATACTTTTAATTTTTTTCTAATCTTAATTTTCTTACAGGTAATAGTGCCAAAGAGGGCGGCTCTATTGTTTGATCAACTGATGGTAGCTCTACAAAAAGTCGTCGATAATCAGGGAAAAGGGGCGATTGGAAGTAGAGGCATAAGCAAGTCGTCGGCTCCACGTTTTATAGCGAACCCGGAAATTCCTGGGACGGATGACCAAACGGTAGCAAATTCGGTATTAATTTTTAAATAGCTCTATTCGAGAGAAGGTTCTTATATCTAGACTTATATCTAGACTAGATCTTAAGGGTTTTTTTGTGATAATATATATTATATTTATTGTTGCGAAAAACAGTTATATCTAGACTAGATTTTAAGGGTTTTTTGTGATAATATATATTATATTTTTATTGTTGCGAAAAACAGTATTACATATTTTCAGCATTAAGAAAGTTTCGTTTTCAACACAATAAAAAGGAGTTTGATCGTGTCAAATACAATATAATTCTGGATATAAAACCTTCATCAACAATCTTTGCAAGATGTTAAATTGACTCATATGATAATTTAATCATATAAGCGAATTTTTTAAATTGTGTGTGTGTTTCTTAACACGCGCACGTCCTTAATCATTCTCCTCGTTTCTAGATGGATTTACAACGACGCGGACAAGCCAAAGGTCAAGTTTATTGGCGTTGTTACTTCAATGCTGTTACGTGCTTCAAGAGGAAGTGATAATGACCACGCCGCCGTCAGTTCTCCTCAATCCCGAAGACCAAAAGAAAGTGCGCCATTTCGTATCATTTTCTCGACTTAATTGCAGCAACACGACAACGAGATTGTAGCAGTGCTTTCCCCGGCTAGAGTGTCAAATAATTAAGTGAAGATCAAGAACATACAGTAACACAGATTCGCGCAATTACTCGTATTTGTCGAATGTCGAGTCAACGATTCTCTTCTTCCGGCGCGTCAAACAAAAATCTTTGTCCTTCTTCTCTCAGCGACTATCACCGTCCTATCTCCTCTATCGCGGATCACACAAGCGACACATGTAGGG